ATATATATAATATACACACAGAGATACATATATATACACAAATACATGTACATTACTTCAGAACGTCTCTTTGCCATAAGTCAACTGCGACTTGAGGGAACCTTCCACTACCACATACACAATGTGTGCGCATTTCCACCTGTGTCTGTATATGTGTGTGTATAAACGTTTATGTGTGTGTACATGCTGCGGTGGCTCAAGTGGTTAAGACGTTGAACTGTGGGCTGTGGAAGGTTGGGAGTTCAGCAGTTTGAGACACGAGTTGCCGCATGACGGAGTGAGCTCCCGTCTCTGGCCCCAGCTCCTGCCAACCTGGCAGTTCGAAAGCAAGAAATTGCAAGTAGATAAATAGGTACCACTTCGGTGGGAAGGTAACAGCGTTCTGTGCGCCTTGGTGCTTAGTCATGCCAGCCACATGACCACAGAAACGTCTTCGGACAGCGCTGGCTCTTCGGCTTTGAAACAGAGATGAGCACCGCAACCCTAGAGTCGGAGTCGACTGGCTTTCAAGCAAGGGAACCTTTACCTTTACTTTACATGCATGTACGCACACACAAACAAACACATGTTCTTTACCTCTGAACGTCTCTCGTCTTGAAAACCCCAGGGAGTTGCCATAATGACAGCACTTTTTACCACCACATATATTTACACATGCACATTACTTCAGAATGTTCCTTTCCTTGAAGATCCTAGGGGGTTGCCATAAATCAATTGCGACTTGAGGGCACCTTCCACCACCACATACATTTATATTTGCATGCACGCACACACAGGTGCGCACGCACACATATTTGTTTATATGTGTGTGTGTGCGCATGTACACACACACATATTTACACACAACACTTATACAAACACACACATAAGCCCCTGAACATTGAATGCCTCTTGCCTTGAAAACCCCAAAGAATGGCCATAATACAGCACTTTCCACCACACACACACACACACCAATGCCTCTTCTAAGTGAGCAGAAATTCTACTTTGTGAGCTACCGGCATTAAAGTTGAGTGAGCGAGTGACTTGGCTACTGCATAAATTAGTTTGCTCTGGAGCCATCCTTCCTGAGCTGAGTCAAAAATGTGTGAGCCAGAGGCTAAAAATCTGTGAGCTGGCTCACACTAACTCAGCTGAGAAGGAACACTGATATAGATATTTATATCTATATACACACATCTGTGTACACGCATGGAGCACACATGCATCGCCGATTCGCCATGCGCACGCGCACACAAATATATTTATACATAACACTTATACACAGACATACACCTGGACATTACTTGCTGGCTTGAAAACCCCACAGGGTCGCCATAAGGGCAGAACTTTTATACCACCATCAGCACACAGAGACACATCTGTGTACACGCATGGAGCACACATGCATCCCCATGCACACACACTAAAATATATTTATACATAACACACACACCTGGACATTACTTATGGCCTTGAAAACCCCACAGGGTTGCCATAAGGGCAGAACTTTTATACCACCATCAGCACACAGAGACACATCTGTGTACACGCATGGAGCACACATTCCCATGCGTGTGCACACACACAACTATATTTATACATAACACTTATTCACAGACACACACAACTGGACATTACGTCTGGCCTTGAAAAACCCACAGGGTCACCATAAGGGCAGAACTTTTATACCACCAACAGCACCCACACAGACACATCTGTGTACACGCATGGAGCACAATGCATTCCCATGTGCGTACACACACACAAATATACTTATACATCACACACACACAAACACCTGGACATGACTTGCTGACTTGAAACCCCCACAGGGTCGTCGTAAGGGCAGAACTTTTATACCACCACCAGCAGCAGCACACACACAGACACATCTGTGTACACGCCTGGAGCACACATGCACCCCCATGCACATGCACACACAAATATATTTATACATCACACACACACAAACACCTGGACATGACTTGCATTCCCATGCGTGTGCACACACACACAAATATATTTATACATAACACTTATACACACACACACACCTGGACATTACTTCTGGCCTTGAAAACCCCACAGGGTCGCTGTAAGGGCAGAACTTTTATACCACCAGCAGCAGCACACACACAGACCCATCGGTGTACACGCCTGGAGCACACACGCACCCCCATGCGCGCGCGCGCACACAAATATATTTATACATCAGACGCACACACAAACACACCTGGACATGACTTGCTGCTTTGAAAGCCCCGTAGGGTGGGTGGCCTTTCCACCCACTGCGCCCATGCGCAACCCCCACCCGCAGTGCTCCCTCTAAGCTGAGTCAGTGTGAGCCAGCTCACAGTTTTTTAGCCTCCAGCTCACAGGTTTTCGCCTTAGCTCAGGGAGGAGGCCTCCAGAGCAAACTAATTTGTGCAGCAGCCAAATTCCTCGCTCACTAACTCAACTTTAATGCCGGCAGCTCACAAGGTAGGATTTCTGCTCTCAAGAAGACTCCGCGGTTTAGAGGGGAGCCTTGCCCGCCCGCGCACCGGCGCACCCCGCGCCTGACCTGGACGACCACCTCGACCTCGTAGGCGTTGCCCTTGGAGCGCTGCTGCCCGCGGAACTTGGCGCCGCTGTAGAGGCGGCTGGTGCTGACGCCGGGCTGCGCCGTGTTGATGGGCGGCGGCGGCTCGAGGCGGGCGGCGGCGGACGAGGCGGCGCCCG